GGATATATAGCTCAGCAGCATAGCACCTGCCTGGCAAGTGTGAGGTCGTGAGTTCAATTCCACATACCAAGAAAAAATAATTGACACAGAGGAGCCAAGCACAAGCCTGTAATCCCAGCACTCAGGAGGCTGAGGACTGAGGATCATTGCAACCTCACGACCAGCCTGGGCTACAAAGTGAGCTCAAGACCAGTCTGAACAGCATAGTGAGACCCTCTCTCAAAAAAGACAATAAAATAAAATTGACACAGATCCCTGACTCACTTTTAGCATATTCCTGAACGTTTTGAGACAGGGATCTAAGTTTAGTAGCCAAGTGTTAATAATTAAGAACAACCTACTTTTGTGTCCAGTGTTTTAAAATTTTTCTATATAGGTTTTACACATTTTCTTATCAAATTTATTCCCAAGTACTTAATTTTCATTGCTGGAACATTGTAGAGCTTTCAGTGATAACGAACAGCTGGCTGTAGCACACGTGCCGTAGGTTCACCACCATTGATTTTCAGTTTGGAAAACTGGAATTTGAAAAGTTACTACCAGATTGGGGCTAGGCATGGAGGTACGTCTCTATAATCTCAGCACTTGGGAGGCTGAAGCAGGAGGATCACTCAGAGAGTTCGAGGCAATCTGGACTACTTAGGGAGATACTGTCTCAAAAAGTCAAACAGCAATAAAACATCCAAAAACAACCATCAGAGTGGGTAATTTGTAAACCATAAAAACCTATTTTCTAGTTCTAGAGGTGGGAGGTCCAAAATCAAAGAAAAAGCACACTTGGTGTTTGGTGAAGATTGCTGCCTATGGCCCAGATAGCATCTTACTGCATCCTCACAGGGTTGGAGGCCAAAGGGCCCAAGGGGCACGGAGCAGCCAGCCAGTTCCCTCCAAGCCTTTTTATAAGGTGTTAATCTATTCATGAGTGTTGGGCCCTCATGAGCTATACACCACTGAAAGCCTCTATCTGTTGCATTGGAAACTAAAGTTTGAAAATGAGTTCTGGAGAGAACACCTACCCTGGAATACAGCAAACTCTACTGGAGATGAAATGACAGTAAAATATATACAGAACTGGCTGGGCATGGTGCACAAACTTGTAATCCCAGCACTTGAGGGGCTGAGGCAGAGGATTGATGTTTTGAGGCCCCCTTCTCTATGGTGAGTTCAAGGCCAGCCTGAACTGCATACAGAGACCCTGTCTCAAAAAATTATACAAACTTAAACTTCAGATAATAAAGCATGACATACTGAAAAATATATAAAGAAATTATTTAAGTACCTCTGCAAATGTTACGTTTTCCTGCATACATGCCAATCTGTAAAACCCACTACGAAGTTCCAAGGCTGCAGAGCTTTTACTAATGATATGAAAACAACAGAAACAAAACATTTAAAGAAATGTTTTTAAAAACCCTAAAGGTTTGAATAAGCTCCAAGTCCAGCAATTAACCTTGAAAAATTCTGCAGTGATACTTTAGACAACCCCAAAAACTTCATTAAAAAACTGCTAGATTTAATAATCAAATTCAGTAGCATAGCTGGATACAAAGTCAACACAAAAATCAATAGCCTTCCTGTATACCAATAACAAACTCACTGAGAAAGAAATTAGGGAAACACTTTTCACAATAGCATCCAAAAAAATGAAATCCCCAGGAATTGATCTAATGGAAGATGTAAAAGTCCTCTACATTAAGAACTACAGTACTCTGAAAAAGGAAATTGAAGAGGATACAGAAAATGGAGAGACATCCCTTGCTCTTGGGTAAGAAGAACCAATTTAGTGAAAATGGCCATATTTCCAAATCTGTTATACAGATTTAATGCAAGTCTGATCAAAATTCCAATAGCATATCTCACAGAATTAGAGAAAACAATCCTAAATTTCATTTGGAACCAGAATAGACCTAGAATGGCAAAGGTAACTCTAGGCAACAAAGGCAAGATGGGGGCATCACAATCCCTGACTTGAAATTATACTGCAAAGCTACTGTGATTTAAAAAAACCTCAAAAAACCAAAAAACCAAAAACAAACCAGGGCCAAGGATTTAGCTCAGTGGTGTAAGCATCTGCCTGGCAAATGCAAGGCTGAGAGTTCGATCCCCAGTACCAAAAACAAAACAAAATCCAGCACGATATTGGGAAAAACAAAAAAAAATAACCCCAAGAACTGAAAAGGTCAATGGAACAGATTAGAAGATACAGAAACAACTCCAGACACACTAACTTTGGCAAAGGTGCTAAACACATTCCCTGGAAGGATAGTCTCTTTAATAAATGGTGCTGCAAAAACTGACTCCATACATGCCAGAGATTAAAATTGGACTCATATCTTTCACCATGCACTAAACAAAATTCAAAATGGATCAAAGATCTGAACATAAAACAGAAAGATTAAATCTGCTGGAAGATAAGAGTAGGTAAAAATCTTGAAAACATTGTTTTCATTGGCTTTACTGTTTTGTTTTGCTGGATTTTACTATCTTTAAAATAAATTTTTAAAAATTTTAAAAAAATCTTAAGACATTGGTGTAGGCAAAGACCTTTTTTTTTTTTGGGGGGTCTTTTTCCTTTTTATCGGTACTGGGGATCGAACTCACGACTGCCTGCTTGCAAGGCAGGCGCTTATGCCGCTGAGCTAAATCCCCAGCCCCAAATTTAAAAAATTTTTTCTAAAAAATCTTAAGACATTGATGTAGGCAAAGACTTTATGAATAAAACCCCGATTGAACAGGAACTGTCACAAAGAATCAACAACTGGGATCTCACTCTACTGAAAATCTTTTTTTGTTTGTTTGTTTTTTTCGTTTTTATCGGTATCAGGGATTGAACTCACAACTGCCTGCTTGCAAGGCAGGCGCTTATGCCACTGAGCTAAATCCCCAGCCCCATCTACTGAAAATCTTTTGCATAGCAAGAGAAACCACCAACAAAGTGACGAGACAACCCACAACATGGGAGAAAATGCTTACCAGCTGTACCGTAGACAAGGGATTACTGTTAAGAACATATAAAGACCTCAAAAATATCAGTCCTCCCAGATTTAAAGACCCAATCCAAAATTGGGCATCCATGAACATACTTTTCAGATGAAGAATTACAAATAGCAAATAAATATGTGACAAAATGTTCAATATTAATGATCACTTGAAAGATGGAAATTAAAACAACAGAGATTCCACTTCACCCCGAAAAGAATGGCTATAATGAAGAAATCAAGCAATAACTGGAGAGGCTGTGGGGAGAAAGGAACCCTGTTCAACTGCTGGTGGGAATGCAAACTGGTGCAATCACTATGGAGATTCCTCAATAAACTAGGATTGGAAGTCCCATTCAACTCAGCTATTTCCTTCTAGGTATCTTCCCAAAAGAATTAAAAACGTTGTATTACAGTGATATACATGCACCCATGTTTATTGCAGCACTGTTTGTAATAGCCAGATCTTGGGAACAATGTAAATGCCCACTGACAGGAATGGATAAAAACAATGTGGTATTTTATACAATGGAGTACTACTCAGCCACACAGAAGGACCAGAGACTTTTATAGATAAATGGATGCAATTTGAGACCATAATCATTAGTGAAATAAGACACACATAGACAAACATTGTATTGTCTCATTAGTGTAAGAAACTGAAAGAAAAAAAATATGTGTATGTGTACGTATACATAGAAAATAGTTAAGATATATTAATGATTTCTCTGAGTCCATGGAAGAGAAAGATTTATGCGGGCATTGTTTGGAGAATTGAATGCAGACGTCTTGTGCTCTGGACAAATGATTTGGGGATAACAATGTACAATGTATGTTCCATTGTTGCTCCAGATGATGTTTTGAAGTTCTTTTTTTTCCTTGAAATAAAATGGATTTGAAAAAGAAAAAAGGCATTTTACAGCTGTAAAAAAATTTTTTAAAAAGTCTATTAAAGATTTGAATTAGCTCCAAATCCAGTAGTTAACCTTGTAAAATTCTGCAAAGAACAAACTTAATAAATTAAAACCCGAGGATTAATTTCTACTCATTATGAGCATTTCAGTGACAGCAGTGATTCAAATTTTGGTTAGTAGTAGTAACAAAATGTCTTTTAAAATTCTCGTTTCCGGTATCCAGTTTCTAAAGGTCATATTATAAAAACTAAATACTTCTAGGAACTGTTTTTTTTTTTTTCTTCAAATTTTTTATTTTTGGAATTGTTGAAGGGTAGAAATTCCCTGTGGAAAGATTAAAACTGCTAAATTTTGGAAACTTCTTAACGTTCCCAGTTGGAATGTGGTTCTAATAATCTGAATTGTCCACAGTTGTTGGGCATGATGATGCACACCTGTAAACCCAGCAATCAGGAGGCTGAGGCAGGTGGACTGCCATGATTTCACTGCCAGCCTGGACTGCAAAATGAGTTCAGGTAGACCGAGTGTAGTGGTGCACATGTGTAATCCCAGTACTTGGGAGACTGAGGCAGAAGGATCATTACAAGTTTGAGACTAGCCTGAGCTACAAAGTGAGCTCAAGACCAGCCTGAATTGCATAGCAAGATCCTGTCTCAAAAAAGTGTTCCTTCAACTTTTTTATTTAAACCATGTTCTATAACATTATTCCTGTGTGTGTGTGTGTGTGTGTGTGTGTGTGTGTGTGTGTTTGAAACAGGGTCTCACTATGTAGTTCAAGCTGGTCTTGAGCTCACTTTGTAGCCCAAGTAGGTCTCAAACTTGCAATGATCATCCTGCCTCAGCCTCCCGAGTACTGGGATTACAGGCTTGCGCCGCCACACCTGGCCTCCTTATTACTCTTTAATGTTAACATTAACGAACACCATATACCCTAGAACACAGGATGCAGGTACAAAATGATCGCTGTGATTTCAGGCCCAGCCTAGACTACATAATGAGTTCAAGGCCAGCGTGAACTACACAGTGAGACCCTGTCTGAAAAAAAAAAAAACCCACAACACAAAATGCACTGATTTATGAATTAAAAATACAAGCTCAACTCCAAAGGTTAGGCTTTTAAACAAGATTCAACATCATTTATTTACATATTTATGACATACATTAATGTTCTTATACATTTAAATCTAATAACAATGGTGAAAATGGAACATATAAAGACAATCTCCAATTTTAGGTTGTAATATTTTTTCACTAACTGAAAGATACAATAAACAAGCAGCCATTTAAAGTTATGGGCTGTATATTGGTTCACTTAAAATTGAAAGTCAGCCACATAGCTATCAAAACAAGAGAAAATTTGCAAATGCAAATATTATACGTATGCAAGTATAATGCATGCACAGCTATTGCATTTATTCTTTATCCTTTATTAAAGCCACTTTTAAAGTAAACAGGAATAAGCATCTTAATATATGTACATCAAGGCACATTCTTTTCTTGTGCTTCAGGAATGACTTACATAAGATCTCCTTAAATCTTAATTTTATATCCTATAACAGCTTTTAATAGCTAAAAACTTAATTTTAACAATTATAGCCGGGGATATTGCTCAGTGACACAGCACCTTGGCAGGCACAAGGTCCTGAGTTTGATTCCCGGTACCCACAAAAAAAAAAAAGAAAAAAAGGAAGAAAAAAGAAAATCTTAACAGTTAACAGTTTAAGTAGTAGTTTCCTAGAGAGAAATGTGGCATCTCCCCATAGTTATTTTGAAAATCAGAAAATTGGATAGCTTGAATAGGTGCAAACTTAAAAATCAAACACATGAATTAATGTAATTTTGTTTTTAGGTAACTTCAAAATATGTTCAAAAATTTGGCTGGACCATAATTCATTTAGTATAATGAGGGCCACACTTAAGAATTTTCAAAATTCTGAAATTACTTGATAATTTTATAGTATCCACAAGACTGCTGTAGATGTCAATACTGCTATCCTATTTTCAACTGTAGTTTTTAAACAAAATTAAACATGATATGAACTGAAAACACACCAAACCTAACTTGTTCATTTTCCTGTAAAAAAATTAAGATTTTAATTTTCCAACAATGTTTCATAACTGCTCCTTTTCTCATGGTCAATTACTCGCCTTGAAGAGATAGTACAGTAAGGCTTTAATAGGCATTTCATGCATTTTAATGGTATTAAAAATTAGCTATTCATTTGAATTTCCCATATAGATTTATTGTGCAAACTTGATTACAACATTTAACTCATTAAGTGCTTTAAAATACAGAATCCCTGACTCAGAAGGGGTTAAAATAAATAGTCAAGAATCACCAGGACTGAAGCATTCAAACTATAATATACCTATGTATTCTACTGAAGTGGTTTATATTAGACTTTTATAAACAGGGCAACTGAAATCACAGAACCTCTACAGTTTGAGAATAAAACAAAAGAAAAGCATTCAACGGGTACAGCTTTTTAAACTCAAATATATAATGTCAAAAGTGAAACTACACAGCTTTAGACTTAGTACAGCCATTTATAAACATGAATTCATAAAAGGCATACCATGATAAACCACTACCCTTCAAATAGATTTGTTTTTAATTTCTTTACAGTAAACATATTTTCCTACAGAACTCATTGTCTACACAGTTTACAAAAGTCACTGATAGTCCAGAGCCTGACATAGAAACTCTAAGGAGATAGTCACAAGGAATTGTAAACAAACGTTCCGTGAGTTCAACTTACACGAGATTTTTCTTCTTTTTATCATTACTGTATTCATTCTGCTTCTGAAATATGTGCCACTTCGACTTCAACAGTCTGAATAGCTTCTGCAACTTCAGACAGCTTCTGTCCTTGCTGTTGTGCCAACACATAATTAACCACTTGCATAATACTTTGGTCAGAAAGCGTAGAGACCGAAGGACACTCTTCAGTAGCGGCAACAGCTTCAAGAACTTCCATCGTTTCTCCTGTGACCACCACAGTCTCAAGTTCTTGAGGACCGCTGCTTTCTTGTTCCTGCATGTCTGCGGTTAAGATGCTAACAGCATGTTCCACTTGAGTTCCTTGGTTATGAAACTGGAGGGTGTCTTTCTCCAGCATAATTTTGCAAGGCACATAGTCCGTATGGAATTTAGTCATATGCTTACGGAGTGTTCGAGCATCTATGTAGGCCTGACTGCACACAGGACAGACGTAGGGCCGTTCTCCAGTATGTGTTCGAACGTGGCGTTTTAGGGACCGGGCATCAGCCCAAGCTACTCCACATGTTAAGCACTCAAACGGCTTCACTCCTATTTAATAAAAAAAGTGGAGAGAGGTGCAAGCACCAACAATATACTAAAAAACTACTTGGCAAATGATTAAGCCCTTAAGTCTTTTTACCTTGATTATGGTAATCTTGCATTTAGCATCTAATGGTTTTCCTTAGAACAGACAAGAAAAGACTGTAACCCAGACTGGCACACCCTGTCACAGCACCCAGGGAGGTGGAGCCCAGACGCCTCCAAGTTCAGTTGTATGCAGGCACCTAAGCAAGACTGTCTCAAAAACAAAAAGGGGCTGGGCATAAAGCTCAGCAGCAAAGCCCAAGTTCAATCCTCCAGGACCAAAAACCAGACAAGATCTTTACTGTCATCTCTGTAAGTGTCTTCTCATGGGTAGAATTTAGTGACAGACAAATGCTTCTATGCATAATCTCATTTATTCCTTCACAGCAATTCTATAATAAAGATAAGGAAACAGAGCCTTCCAACAGTTACCTTCTCAGGTTTGGGATCACCTCTGTAACTTAAATAAATCTTCCAAGAGTGGGGACTAATCTTTCCCCAAAAAAGTATATGGTATCTCCAAGAGAGCTAGCAAGGAAAATAACGACTACCTGACTAGCTATTACTCTTTTTAGATACATATAATACAAAATACCTACCCTCGTGGTTGTTCATATGTCTCCTATACTCTCTCAGTTGAGTGAATTTCCTTCCACACTGTTCACACACTCGCTCCAGGTTTTGCTTTGCTCTTCCTTTCTTCCCATGTGTGGCTTTCTTTACATGCCTCCTGAACAAAGCTTTTTCATAAAATTCTTTGCCACATACATTACACCTAAAATAGGGGAAAGGACTTCAGTTATTCTTTCCAAGGCACTAGAAGCCATAAGAAACAATCATGTACCTGCATTTCTCAGTTAGGTTCAGATTCTTCTCTAATTTACCCACCTATAAGGCTCAGTGACAGAATGAGACTTCACATGGGAATACCAGTCTTTCTTCCAACTATAGCACTTATCACAAAATTGGCACTGGAATGGCTTCACACCAAGATGTTTGTTCATGTGCTGGCGAAGATCTCTTGCTTCAAAAAAGCTTTTTTCACATCTGTAATAAAGTTTAATTACCCAACTGGATTATCTTAATCCTTTACAAGTTTCCAATGTTCTGTACATTCTTAGGTTTCCTAGAACTCCATAAAATGACTGCGAATTTAAAAAGGATCTCCTGGGGCTGGGGATTTAGCTCAGCGGCATGAGCGCCTGCCTTGCAAGCAGGCAGTCGTGAGTTCGATCCCTGGCACTGATAAAAACGAAAAAGACAAAAAAAAAAAAAAAAAAAATTAAAAAAAAAAAAAAAAAAGGATCTCCTAATTTTCCAATCTGGCATCAAGAATGCAGAGTTTTTAGGTCTTAATCTCTAGAGCATAGATATACTTGAGAAAAAAATCATGAAACGTTCCCAAAGGTATGAGACAAATAATAAACTGTCCATCTCTCTTTTGCCCTCTGCTTTTACATCCTGTTCACTGTGTCCATGTGCAGAAGGCAGGCTTCACCTGACCTTAAGAATTAGGCAGGGATTCAAAACTAAGTCAATCAGAATATAACATTCCCTTAGCCATGATGATTACTCAGGGCCATTCATGACTTAGCTTGATCTAATTAGAGTAAACCTAAGGAACTACCAGAAAAAAAGCCAGACAATCTGGAAGTTGAGAGAATGTGAGACTGCCACTGGCTTATCCACAAGGAGCCAAAGAAATCAAGGAGTAATCAATCTGAATCCAGTTTACGTTATATCACTCAGATATCTATAGACTTTATTGAGTCTTTTATTCAAGCCAGCTGTGGTTGGGTTTTCTTTCACTTATAATGAAAAATATATTGTCAGTAAGCTACCTTTGTTTTAAAATAAGAGAAATTATGTGGTGGTGCGTGTCTCTAAATCCTAGCATTCTGGGAGTCAAAGGCAGGATAATCACAAATTTGAGGCCTGCCTCAAAAGTAAAAAGATAGTTGTAGTGGGGAAGCTGGGGATATACTTCAGTAGAAGATCCCAGGTTCAATCCGGAGTACTCAAACAAACATAATCAGAATGAAATTAGCAAATATAACACAGTAGGAAATGCCAAAAACTTGCATCTCCACAAAAGTTGTAGATAAACTAACAAAACTATCACTTTTTGAAAACTCTAGAAACTAATTAAAAGTTTAGAGCAGTGGTGATGAACCTAGAACATGCATGCCACAGAGGGCTGTTTGTATCATTGGAAGTTCTGTAAGGTTCACCATCACTGGTTTACAGTGACCGGCGGGGAGACGCCTATAAACCCAGCATCAGGCAGCTTAGGCAGGAAGATGGCTGTGAGTTTAGGCTAGCCAGGACTCCACAGTGGAACCTTATCTGGGAAAAGAAGTTTACAGCTACCATACAAGTGTTTAATCAAGATAACCAACTACTGAATCTCTATAATTCAGCCGCAGCCTGAAAGACAAAGGTCTGCACTCCCAAAAAGGGTTCCTTTACCAAAGGAAATACCGTTTAGAGAACTGTGTGGTTTTGACTTATCCAGCAGCTCTCTGAAGCAGCCACTCTTTGCTTTTATTTATCCTAACTTTCCTATGACAAGGGAGGATTGTGGATGGGGTGTCTGTGAAAATATTTAGATTCTGATTATCTGAAAAGAGCTCTTAAGTTCTGTAGATCTGAATCTGCACAAACAGGAAATGAAGGCTAAGGCAGAATTGCAAACTGTTCAGCTGAATGTTGGAAGAATTTTGGAATTGGTGATGTTTGGGAATGTACTAAAGACCTCTGAATTATATACCCTACCATGATTAATTCTGTTGGGAGAAATTAACAGTACCAGCTCTACAGAGAAACTTGGGCTGAGGATGCAGGTAAGTGACAGAGTGCTTGTCTAGAACCAAGTATAATACTCAGCAACACTACCAAAGCCAAAAAGTCAAGAGGAAATGCCTACAAAGAACTCTAGCTGTCTGTGCATCTTTCTTTCCTATAGCCCCCATGCCTGGACAGTACAGAAAATCTCTTTGAGTTATTTGTATATGATGCGTATTTTGATAAAACTGTAAAAGACTACTTAAAATCAAGAGTAGACTGAAATTACAGTTTAGTATTATCTTTGAGTATTTTCTTATGAATAAACCAAGTAAGATAATTAAATGAATTGAATGGTTTGCATATTAAGCGCTTACTGAGTACAGTGATAGCCTCGAACCTCCGGCTTTGGCTGGTGTTTCTTTAAGTGTTTGCTGAGTCCAGAACCCCTGTGAAAAGACTTTCCGCAAACAGAGCAAAAGTACTTTGACTCGCCTGTAAAAAATAAAAAGTATGTTACAAATGTAGCAATCAGATCAGCTTCCAACAGAATCCTTTGTTATGTTCCAGAATTTCTTTTTTTTTTTTTTTGTTTGAAATGTGTCTTGCTAAAATGCCCAGGTTGGCCTCACACTGAAGATCCTCCAGTCTCCGGATCTGCATGCTGGGATTCCAGGTGTATGTAGGACATCATGCTCAGTTTCACAAACTGTTATTTTATCAGAGGACTTGCAAGCTGTAACATTTAGCAAGACTCTTTGTAAGAATAACAACAAACCCTGCCAAACTCTATTTCCTTTTGTAAGTACAACCACAGTGATTTACTGCCAAATGAAAAGGATAAATTCTGAGAAATGTGTCCCTGGTGATCCCTTTGTGATACAAACATCTTGGAGTGTAGAGACACAAAGATGGCTACAATATTCCCAGGCAATGATGTCATTTTATAAGAGTAACATTGTACATGAAGTTCATGGCTGACTGACCCCTTGTTACAAGTGGTGACTGCACAGGCAAAGACTCCTACTTCAAGAATGCAATGCCCTTACAGAATCTCTGAACTCTACCAGTGCCATAAGTGAGAACTGGCTCTATAACAAGCATCTGCCCCCTTCACCAGGCATGCCACATGCTTTCATTTTTTTTTTTTTTTTTTTTTTCAGCTTCTTCCTGGGCAGTTCATTCATTCATTTATATTTATAACAGGGCCTTGCTACACAGACCAGGCTGCTCTTTAATACAATATGTAGTCCAGGCTGGCAATCCTCCTGCCAAGTGCTGGGACTACAGGAGCCACCACACCCAGTTAAAAATACTTTCTCTAAAGCATGGGGGACTGAAAAGTTCAGTAAAGATCTGGACCAACCACCATGTTAATGTCTCCAGTTTCCATCTGCTTAACATTAAACTTCTTAAAACCACCCACCCTCCTCCTTTCCCTTCCTTTCTTCCCAGAACTTTATACTTTTGGAACAGGGCTCACTAAATTGTCTGGGATGGCCTCATATTTTGTGATTCTCCCACCACCTCAGACCTGTAGGTAGCTGGGACTACAGCCTTGTATCGTGCTCAGCACGGATTTTTTTTTCCCTTGAGACAGCATCTCTCTATGCAGTTCAGGCTGGCCTCAAACTTGAAGTGATCCTCCTGTAAATACCAAGCAGCTGCCCAAATGCTGAGATCACAGAGGTGTACCACCATGCTGGAACTTTTCTTTAGGATCTAATGATTTGGCACTTGGTACATACTTTTCCATACAGATAGAAACAATCAACATTTTTATAAAAATAAAGAGTTCTAAAACTAGATTTAAACTGGGTAGGGTGGTGCATCCCTGTAATCCCACACCAAGCAGGCTGAGGCAGATCACCAGGTATTCAAGGCCAGCCTGGGCTCTATAGCAAGACCCTATCTCAAAAAGTAAAAGGAATTTAAACAAAACAAAACACTCTGTATTTAAGAAAATCTTTTCTCTCTATTGTCTCATTAGTTTAGAAAAACTCCACACATATAACTATCAGTACATCAATACAACTTCTGGTAAGATTATAGCATACTGAATAATAAAGTCAAACACATAAAATTTAACTACATTAATATACCATTACCTGTATGAATACTCATATGTTCTTGAAGGCTGCGTTTGGTAACAAATGACTTAACACACAGTTCACACTGGAACTGCTTTTGTGATTGATGGAGGCTCTGATGTAATTTTAGACCATGTTTATAGATAAAAGTCTTTCCACAGACCTGCAACATAAGAAAAGTGTTGTCAGTAAACCAAAAAGAAGCCAAAGAAGCCAGGCACTTTGCAGATGTGATAGTGTACATCTCAGCTCAAGAGGCTGAGACAGACCGATCACTCCCCACTTGAGACAGAGTTCATGGCTAGCCTGGGTTACAAAGTGAGACTCTGTCTCAAAAACAAACAAACAAAAAAAAACAAATAGGGAGATAGAAGCTGTTTCTGAAGAATAACAAAATTAATATGTATTATTTTAAACAAATCTTTAAATTTTAATTTGCTTCATTAAAATTATGTGCAAAATGATGGAGTGAAAGTTGAAATCACTAACACCAAGGATGTTAGTTAGAAGACCCTTTTTCCAATTCAGTACTTTACAAATACCATCACTATTATTTGTAAATCCATGTGACCACTGGAGCTCAAAACAATATAGAAAAAAACCTCTGTAGTAGTCTTTTGAGACTAGTAAACACTGTATCTTATATTATAGAGATATAGAATACCCTTATTCCCTGCCATAACAAATAAAATAGTTTTTTTTGGTCTTTCCCCAATCAACTGGGGACACATGTATGTTAAAAACACAATAGAGAGGGGCTGGGGATTTAGCTCAGCGGCATAAGCGCCTGCCTTGCAAGCAGGCAGTCGTGAGTTTGATCCCTGGTACCGATAAAAACAACAAAAAGACAAAAAATAAATAAATAAATAAAGGGAAAAGAAAAAAAAAAAAAAAAACACAATAGAGTGCTGAAACAATGTCAAATAACAGTAAGAGTTTTTATATGCTTACTCTATTTCTATACTTTCAATTTCTATTTCTATACTTTACATTTTGAGCAGTGCTGGAATAGAATATGATAGGCCAATTTACACTTGGTAATTAAATGTATGAATACAAAGATTATTAGGATTTGGCTTCAAAATAATTGAGGCAGTGGGAAAAAGAGCAATGAGTGACGGTATGAATCAAACAGACTTTACCACATGCTGAAAATTACTAAAGCTGGGTGAGAGGCCAGGTGTAATGGTGCACACCTGTAATTCCAGCACTTGGGAGGCTGAAGCAGGAGGATCTCTATGAGTTTAAGGCTGGCCTAGGCTACAAAGTGAGTTCAAGGCTAGCCTGAAATGTAGCAAAACCCAGTCTCAAAAAGACAACAGCAAAAAAAAAAAGGAAAAGGAAAAAAGTTGAGTGGAAAGTACATGACCATTCATTCCATTCTCTCACAATACATTCCATTCTCATTGAATACAAAGAAGAGAAATATTAAAAATCTCATTGGTTACAAAATTGCTTAAGAGTAAAAAATAGGTCATGGTGTAAGGATATAGGTGCTACTACAACTTTTCAATGCTCCAAACAGCCCAAAACTGGGTAATCACATGGTTCTTTATCTAAGAATCATATTTTAGTGTTTTGTTACCCTCAAACCTCAGCAACAAAGAAAACAAAGCTTAAGCAGCACTTTTCCTGACCAACAAAATTATCTTTTAAGTAGATTCTTGTTCAATTACAACTTCAGAGAAAAAATTAAATATGATAGGGAATCATCCTTAATGTAGGCAACAAATTGAAGACAAATTTTCCTGACATTTTAGATAAGTGAGGGCGACTCCAGAATTTACTTCAACACATTTCATCACTATAGTTAGGTTACAATCTTCTTTATATAACAAAATAAATGTTACGGCTTTACCTGGCATGCATGTGGCTTTACACCTGTGTGCTTCAACATATGTATTCGGAGGGAATATAACTTAGGCAATGTCCTTCCACATATGGAACAAATAAATTCTCGTTTGGTTCTGCCCTTCTCCGATGAGGTTCCCGATGCTTCATTGGATGTGGAATTGGCCGAGGATGAAGAGGGTGCATCTTTTCTGGTATGTCGAATCAGGTGTGCCCGCAGTGAAGCACTATACTGAAACTGTTTCTTACACAACTAAAAGAACAGTAAACAAAATTCTATCTAAATATATTTGTACTATAAAATGCTAAGTGAATTGACTCATTTGAACTTTCCATTTCTATTATAACTGTAAAAAAAAATCCAATAAATATAGAATGTGCAAAAGACAGTATAGTATGCTAAAGTGCCACACTACAGAGACGAGAGGGGTAATCCTCAGAACCCTCTTTGGTTAAAATTTAACCAGAAGTTGGCTAGTGACACATGTCTATAATTCTAGCTGCTCAGGAGACTGAGGCAGGAAGACTAGCAAGTTCATGGCGAGCCGGGGCAATACAGTAAGACCCTGTCTCAAATAACACATACATAAGTGTACACATAAAAACTAAAGCACAGCTTTTATACGTAGAATTAGGTGACCTTTTTTTTTTCTTTTTTGGTTTTTGAGGCAGGGCCTCACTATGTAGTTTAGGTTGGCTTCAAACTGATGGCATTTCTCCTGCCCAAGCCTCCTGAGTCTTGGGATTACAGGCATGCACCACTATGTCTGGTGAGGAAAAGGCTAAGTTCTTAGGAGTAATCAGAGCAAGACAAAAAGACTGGTCTTGAATTGGGTTTTAAAGGGCTAGAACTGTTAAATACAGCTTATTATCACTACTAATATAGTAGTTTCATATGGAATAGATATACAGAATGGAATAAAGTAGAAAGGTTAAGACTGTGATGGCTCCTGGATTTTGTCCCATAGTCTGGAGATTCACAAAAGCTTTTCTGTAAACGTCAAAGTTATGGGGCTTGGGAATTTAGCTCAGCATAAGTTCCTACCTGGCAAGTGTGAGGTCATTAAGTTCAATCTTCAGTAAAAGTCAAAGTTACATATGCTTATCATCTACAGTACTTATTTATGTTTTCTTTTTTTTTATCGATACCAGGGATCGAACTCACAACCACGCGCTTGCAAGGCAGGCGCTTATGCCATTAAGCTAAATCCCAGCCTGTTTTTTTTTTTTTAAACAAAATAAATAAAACAGGGTTTCCTGATACACAGTCTCCACCAAATCACTTCCCAGTGAACTGGGAAGGCTTCTAAAATTAATTTTCCCTACTATTTTGTAACTCTTCTTTTACCTTTTTTTGTTTGTTTTGTTTTGTTTTTGGAGAAAGCTCTTGTTTTGTAGTTCAGAGTAGCCTTGAACTGTGTAGCCCAGGCTGGCCTTGAACTCTTGGTGATCCTTCTGCCTCGGCCACTTGAGTGCTGGGATAACGGCATGTGTAACCATGCCCAAATTATTTTTGTAATTCTTTAAATAATATTCATAATGAAAATTCTTTTCTTCATTCCTGCATTTCCCACACATAAGTAAATGATTCCCAATGGTCTACTTTAATATAGTTATATTACCTTAGAAAAACTACATCCCATCGATGTAAGACCAATTTTAGTGTTTGTATTAGGCTACAAATGTTATAAAAGCTGGGTACTACATGGTACATTATGATCCTTTTTCCTTTCTCGCTTTTACTTTACCTTATTTACCACTAATTCATTACTAAACTCCTCCTCTAATTCTGAGAGATTTAAAATACCATTAACTAGGGATAATGGCGCATACATGTAATCCCAGCATCCTGGCAGGCTGAGGTAGAAAAATCTCAAGTTTTGAGCCCAGTTTGGGCAATTTAGTGAGGCTCTATCTCAAAAAAAAAAAAAAAAAGCGTAGCTCAGGGTGAAGGCCCTGGGTTCAACTCTGAACACACATATCACAAACAACTCCATCATTGTCTTTGGAAATGTCTGCCAAGGCATGACATCCTATCGTAAGCTATTCTAACTGTTCACCATGTTTGGTACATAGTTTCATCTTGAGATTCCCCTGACTTGATGAATTCCTTAGATTCTTTGTTGAAGTAAGCCCATGTCTCCATTTTCCATGTCCTGATCATTTTAGTATCCTATCAATAGCTTCTTGAAAAAAAAAAAGTTTGGGAAGTTAAACTTTTAAGGTCTTGCATGTCTGAATATGTTCTTATTCTACTATTTCAAGTAACTGATAGAAGCAGGGCATTGTGATGCATGCCTGTAACCTGAGGCAAGACTGCTGGAGGGTCTGGGTTACATAGTAAGTTCAAGACTAGCCTAAACAAAATAGTGAGACCCTGTCTCAAAAAAACCCCACAAATAATAGTAATAATAATAGTAACTAGTAGTTCGGCTGTATTTTCAACTTAGAAATCATTTCTCTTTAGAATTTAAAAGATATTGTACCTTTGTCTTACAGATTCCATTGTTGCTGTGGAAAAGCCTGAAGCCAATCTGATCCATATCCTTTGAGTGAGACTGACCATTTTTTTCCTCTGGGAATTTGTAAGATATTCTTCTTCCCCTGATTCTCAAATTTCATAATGTAGTTTGACATAGGTTTATTTTCATCCACTTTTCTGAGCAATGTACCCTTTTAACATGAAAATACCTCTCCTTAGGTTCTGATGTTTCTGATTATCATATCAATGATTTTCTTCCCTCTATGTTCTGTGTTCGGAAATACTACTTTGTTATAGTCTAATGTTCCAGATTTTTGCACTCTCATATTTTATCCTATTATGATTACTACAGACTGTCTTCAATTTATGATGGGATTACATCATAGCAAACCCACCATAAATGAAAAATATCTGTATTTTTTTACTAAAAAGCTCTTCTGAACCAGACATGGTGGTGCACATCTGTTAACTCCAGCATTCAGGAGGCAGAGGAAGAATTCTGAGTTTGAGATCATCTTGAGCTACTCAGGGACACCCTGTCTCAAAAGACCAAAACCAAATCAGAAGACCCTTTTGCTCTCTGACTGTGTCCTTCTTAAAAATATAGGATCTTGTCCCTAATCAGTGCAAGTCTGGTTTCAGGACTGTCTGAAGAAATCAGAATTTTATAAAGTCTTATATTAAAATGGCACTGTATTTGCATATAGCCTGTCCCCATTCTCCCATATACCAGCTCTAGATTATTTGTAATACTTAAAAGTTAAATGCTGGGTAAACTATCATGCTATACTGGTTAGAGAATCATGACCAAAAAAATCCCTGTACATATTTAACAAATTTTTGCAAATAATTTCAATATGCAACTGGCTAACCTATGAATATGAAGTCTGCAGACTGAGGTGCAACTGTATCTGCTTACTGTATTCATGAGTTTTTTCCATTTATCTTTTATATAAATCATACTTCATGAGTATTTTTCTTACAGTCTTAGATTCCTGAAGCTGCTTTTCTCTTGAAATCACATGTCTGGTGATCCCTGATATGTAAGAATCTGAATTCAACCTCAGTACCAAACAACAAAAAACTAAGTGAAAATCGGGAACTACACAAGACACCTGTAGTACCAGCTCCCTGAGAGGTTGAGGGAACTGCTCAAGCCCAGGCAGTTTGGGCCAGACTGGATTACATAAAGGCCTACCATCTCTTAAAACAAAAAAGTATCCATATTTCTTAATTGAAAGTAGGGGTGGAGATTCTCATCCATAGCCTTTAATAAGCAGTATCTGTAATTCTGTCAGGATTAAGATGCTTGTATCTGTTGTCTGAGAAATCTTTTTGTCTTAGGGTTAAAAGTCTGGGTGCTAACATCCAGGGACTTGACTAAGGAAAGAGAAGTTGAAAGATTTCAATATTCAGTATGGACACTTTCACTTTTCCTGTTTCGGATTTATTACACCTACCTTCACTATACATGGTGCTCCCCAGAAAAAGTGTGGTTTTATCTTTTCTTCAGAAAACAAGGATGTTAGGCCAAGAAATGGTGATTCAATTGCTTTTACTTCCAAAATAGCTAGTACCACCAATTCCAAAGCCTATTGGTGGTTCTGCAGTACAACTAGAATTGATTCTTTACCTTGGAAATGAGCCATTTCAAATTTGCTGAATCACTTCCTCCACTTACTTATTAGCGTTCAGAATCTAGTTGTCAAGGTTTCTTTATCTGCACTCTCTGCCCTTTTATGCCTTTTTTTTTTTTTTTTTCTTTTTCCTTTTTATCGGTACCAGGAATCGAACTCACAACTGCCTGCTTGCAAGGCAGGCGCTTATGCCGCTGAGCTAAATCCCCAGCCCCTTGCATTTATATTTTTAAAACAATCTTTTCACTATTCTCTCACTAGGATAATCAAGAGAAAATAAGCATAAAACACTATTGGGGGTAGGAGCAAGTATGACATGTACAAATCAGATAACAATTCTTTATAAGGGAGACAGACAGAGAATACCAGTAGTAAACTGAATAGATTTACTTCATGAATTTAGGTACTAAATACTTTAGGTACTTACTGGACATTTGTAATCTCTAGCTCGCTCATGTTTCAGTGTGTGCATTATAAAGGCGTATCGTCTCTGAAAGACCATTCCACATTCCCCACATTTATGGGATGCTTCTTCAGTGTTCTCCTTTGCATCCCTTTTTGGCTGTTTCAACTTTTTCCCTCTTTGAACTAATTTCTGGGCCACCTAGTCAAGAAATAAAAAACAAACAAAAAGAAACAAAACAAAAGAAAAAACAACTAAAGCATTCATTTTGGTTTTTAAAGTCGTAAGTCATTTTATAAATTTCTAATATAGGTATTTCAAATTTGCACTATTAATTTTGATATTTAAAACACTGTTACTTCCTGTACCCACTTTCCTTCCCAATTAATTTTTATCACAGACATTGAACTCATTCCTAGAATGCTCCCAAAACTACAAGACAGTTTTTTTACATCATACCTGTTGAACTGCTGACTTGGGAATGGTTTTCCGTTTCTGTAGCTTTTTCTCCATCCCCTTGTGTAGTCGGATATATCCCCCTTCATTGACAGACCGCTGACGAAGCCTACTTCTGTAAGTATCATCAAGGTTTGAGTCTGTCTTTGCTATTGGTGCAACTAGATTTTCCTGATCTTTTAAAGGTTCGCTAAGGTTCTCCCTATGTTCTGAGGTATCTTCAATACATACATCTTCAGTTGATGCATCATTTTCCATGTCACTATTCTCTTGAGAGCTAATGATTATAGTATCTTTTGAAAGTTTAGGATTACTATTAGAACCTGTGGCATCTTCTTCAACATTTGAAGTTTCCGGCTCTGGCTGGTTGTTTTTTGTTATTAAATCAACAGACTCTATTTCTGGATGAGAATTATTTATACATTCTACAGATGACAGAGGAGCTTCTGGCTCTGAAGAGACCTGGGGCTCAGGCTGTTGTCCTAACTCTTCATTCTGTTCGGTTTCTGGCAAGTCTCCATTTACCAGGAGCACAATTTCACAGTCTCCAAGTTCATTAGACAAAGTTGTTGTGGTTCCCTCACTACTGGCTGCAGGAGGGGCTGTACCTCCAGGATGTTCTGGTAAGTCTTGGGTAGATGCAACTGTTTGTACCTCACCCTTCTTATACACTGTAAGCTGTTTCTCTTCCATTAGTTTATGTACACTTTCACAAATTTCTAAAACTTCTGACATAAAAAGATGACGAGCTAAGATGGCTACGTCAGCCATGCTACAGAAGTCAAAACTCAGTACAGAAGTATAGGCAAATTCCAGCAAAGGAAGAAAACTTGCTTTACAAAAACCTGTACAGAACAAGAAAAGTAGGAGACAAAAAAGTCAATCATCACTAAATCATCCTACAACAACTAACACACAATTAGAACAATATTAAACAACCATGACCATTTATTTTGCAATCAATTACCCCTGGATTTGCTTTCTGTTCTGGCTGCTTATTAAACCTTGAGTAACTACTAAGTCACTTCTATGAGCTGAGTCTCTCAATACCTAATGTAGAAAATAATATCAGACTTACTACCTCAAAGAGTTGCTGTAAGGCAGTCATTGTCAAATTGTATTCCTTAAAACCCCGGGTTCCTCAAATGCCCCTCAAGAAACAGCTGCTAGAGAATGGAGGGTGGGAAACAAAAGGGAGGCAGGTAAGCAGACAGGGTTCATTCAACCAACCTATTCCCTAACCTCACATCATTAAGTATTCTGCATTTTTAAAATAGTAGTCCATATAAAATTTTGAACAAAGTATTCCACAATTGAAAATTAAAAGCCAAGATCTAAGGCCAGCATAAGCAAAAATTTTCTGAAAAGAATGAAATGATAAATACTCCAAGTCATAAAGTGTCTCACAACTACTCAGCTCCAACATTGTCGCTAGAAGGCAGATGCACACAACAAGCATGGCTGCAATGAATACAACTTTTTTTTTTTTTAAAAAAAGTGAGGTCTGACATTTACTGAAGGTAGAAAAAGAAACACTTCTGCAGAGTGAGTTCAGGCTAATTAAAAGTAGGAAAAGAGATACATTCTTTTTTTTTTTGGCTTTTTCATTTTTATTGGTACCAGGGATCGAACTCACGACTGCCTGCTTTCAAGGTAGGCGCTTATGCCGGTGAGCTAAATCCTCAGCCCGAAGAGGTACATTCTTCAGGGTGAGAGCAGACCACCGTGAAATGCCACAATGGAAAACACAACTTGCTTTACAAAAAGGAAAGAAGACTGACCCTTGGGCTGTAGTTTGTTTATCCTGGATCCAAGGAATGAAATAATTACTGTATGAGATATTACATTTTTTTTCTTATAAATGGGAGAATAAAGGCAGTTTAGTTCTTCCGTAGGTTCTTAATGCTTCACTTTCAAAGGTGACTTCTTAAAAGTATCAAAATTTATAAAACCAGGAAAAAAAAAACCCTCCACTATATAGTGATAACTGTCCTTATGAAAAGATGATTAAAAATTTCTACTGGGCCCTGAGGGTTTAGCGCAACAGTAGAAACATCTGCCTGGCAAGCGCAAAGTCATGAGTTCAATCCCCAGTACCCCCCCACCCAAAATTTCTACTGGGCTGGAGATGTAACTCAGTGATGAAGCATTTGAACTAGGCCTTAGGTTCAAGTCCTAATTACTTGTTTTCTCTCATCCCTCAAAAAAGGAATTCTTAAAATACACCAGTCCAGATAATACGAATACACAAGTCTGATTTGGTTGGTGGTATCTTGGTATGACAAGGGATAGAGGTCTCATGTTCCTGTTTTACAGCCAGCACAGCAGCTTCCATCACCACTGACACCATGATGACCCTCTAACCTCACAGGTTCACAAACCCGTGCACAGAGTATGGTAACTGTTCCACCCAAAAACAAACTGAAAATATGTGAAGAGGCGTGATGACTTCCATACCTGTGCAAAAGAATCTTAAAAACCTCCCCTTCTCACCATTCAATCAGCAAATGGCTTCTGCTACTACCTTTCTCCATCAACAGGAAAAAATACATTTGAATTTTATTCCTTGATCTTCAGCCTTCTATTAAGAAAAGATGTTTTTTGTAGTCAAGGTGATGCAGGCTTATAATCCCAGCGATTCAGAAGGCTGAGGTAGAAGTTTCATAGCTTAGGCACAATATGCAGCGTAGTAACATCCTGTCTAAAACTTTCAAAAGGGCTAGGGTATAGGAAAGTGGGACAGTGTTTGCCTAGGAAGTACTGTAGACCCTCAAGTTATAGCATGGCATATGAACTTGGATTATGACCAGGATTTTAGTTTTAACTTACAACCAAAGTCTTGAGTTACAACCCAAACACAGGTTGCCTGTGCTTCCACCAGATGGTCTCAGATACAGGTTTAACCCTTAAGGAGTTCTAGAAGGAACATTAAGACATCTTTTCCTGTATAGGATTAATTGAGAAATCCTGGAGAGAGACTTTGAAGGCTGTGGAAGAGCCTGAGCCTCCAACTGACAACTCAAGAACGAATTCAGTTCCTAAGTCAAGGGTCTGCTATTTAAGGACAGGCTTTGATCTCCATGTGAGGGGAGTTGCCTATGGCGATTAGGACTGCTGGCTCAATGTCAATCTCTGGGTAAGTAAAAATTAGAGGAAACATATCTTTTAGAAGGCTACAACTCTAAGTCAACCCACTACACCACCTGGGGTTCACTAGCATCCATCACAATATCCTTTATAAGAAACTAGTAGGCATAGTATTTCCTTAAACTCTGTTAGCTGCTCTGCAAATTAAGTGAAGCCATCGAGGGAGTTGTGAGAGCCTCAATTTATAGCTGGTCCATTAGGAGCACAAGTAAAATGACTGGGGCACATGACTGGCACCACAAAGGTATATGGAGGGCAGTCTGGAGGACTGAGTCCTCAACCTGTGGAATCTGATAGTATCTCCAGGTTGACAATATCAGAATTAAATTTTTATTTGTTGATTCACACCTTGCCATATATAAATTTTAGTAAAGCCCAAACAAAACCAAACTATTTATTTATAATATAAATGGAAAACAAAAACTCACTTAGGATTTTTAGTTTTCTCTAGTGTTTGGTCTGACTTTAATGCTTTTTTTTTTTTTTTTTGGTCTGAGACAGGGTTTCGCTATGCAGTTCAGGTTGTCATTGAACTCACCTTTTAGCATGGGCTGGCCTTGAACTCAGAGTGATTCTCTTACCTCAGCCTCTTGAGTGCTCAGATTAAAGGCATGCACCACCATGACGGGCTTTGATTTAATGAATTCTAACTGATCTTTTTTTCTCCTGACAAAGATTCACTATGCAGTTAAGGCTGGTGTCAAACTCACAATGAACCCAGGCTGACCTCAAATTTGTGATCTTCTTTTGAAAGTCTCCCAAGTTCCCACATGTTGGGATTATAGGCATGCACCAATACACCTGGCTATGATTAATTTTACAAATCAAAGAACAAATTTACAAAAGCACTCTGTGTACAATCAGACATACACAAAAGATAAGCAGACAATTTTAAGTAGCATATTGATTTAGTATAATAATACAACGGTAACTGTGTTTTTCTCTCAAACTATTTTTAACAGCTTCAATTCCAGAAACAGTAATTCTGCTACAAGTGTCTGGAAGACAGTAGTAGAAAAGGATTGCTTTTTCCATAATTCTATCTTAGGAATTTTGCTAAAAAGAAATCTTTCAGTTGAGCTGGTCTGCTGCTATGAGCTCCTATGTTATCATATATTTGGGTTTTGGAAGACAGACAGATTCTTCTTCTAGGATGTATACATTAACACAAAATAAGGATATTAAAAAATTCTTACCTGAAAGATCTACCACAGCCTCATGACTGGAAATAGCTCCTTTCTCAATAAAAAGGTCTCGAAAATACTCGCTATTAGCTGACAAAACAGATTTATGAGCTTTGTACTCTTCTCCTTCAATCAACAAAGTAACATCACAGAACTGGTTGGAAAGTCTTTGTTCGTTCAGCTGTTTCAAAACAGCCTGACAATGTTTTGGAGAAGAACGTTTTACCACTCCTTTGGTGTCAACCTGCCAAAAAAAGGAAAAAGACAAAAAAAAAAAAAAAAAAGAAGTTTGAGATCAAGAGACGTATTATGTATTAACTGCATATTTCACCCTGGAAACTATTTCACTTCAACAGGTAAGAAGAAACAATCTGCCTTTTTTTTTTTTACCCCTAGTAATAGGGATTAAACTCAGGGCCTTGTGCATGGTAGGTTATTGTTTTTCTACTATTTATGTATTTAAACTCTTGTGTCTAATTTCTTGTTATCTTTTCTTAGTGGTCAAAACTTTGATGATGTACAAAATGGATGTATGCAAACAAACAAACAGCCGGGTGTGGTGGCACATGCCTATAATCTTGACACTGGAAGCTGAGGCAGGAAGATTATGCTGAGTTTAAGGAAAGCCTTGGCTACAAAGTGAGTTGAAGGCCAGCTGAACTATACAGTGAAACTCTATCTCAAAACAAAAGTAAAAACAAAAACAAACTAACAAAAACTGAAAGAAACTAACCAGAAAGCAACCACCAAAAACCTAGCCAAATTAATTTTATCTGGCTGTGTAATCTATATAGGCCACTGAAGAAGAGCAGTTTACCTTCACCAATATGTTATTACAGAAAAAGGAAAGAGGGCTAATTAGTAACAAACCAATAAGATACTAAATTCATTCTGGACAATAAGTGAATTTGTAATCATTGAAGAGGCAATGCTAACATACTTTTGGCTACAGCATGTAACTAAAGTAACATAGTGTATGATCCATTTTGTCTTATTTAGTAAGCCCTACTTTAGACATGAAGACTTTCAATGTCAGTGCTAACAGTCAAGCAGGGTTAGTGTTCTGAAACAAATAAAATTCACCAAGACTGAAGAAGTCAGTATAGCAATTAAGAATGTTAATACTAAGTGGAAAATACCACTTACAAATACAAGTTCATGTTTGGACACTGGCTTCTTTTTCGAAGACTTGGAGGCTGTGGCTGGAGGTGAAGTAAAGTTGCTCAGATCGTCCTCTGATTCATTACTTTCTTCTCCAGATTCGAGGTCTAGGCCCAATTCTTCCAACATTTCTGAAGTATCTGATATTGGACGGGAGCGATCTAATTTTTCCTGGCATTTGCTGCACTGTTTAATATAATCTTTGACTTGCTTTAATATACCTACGGTACAAATAGAAATTAAATCAAACTAACTTTATCATTTTTAATCTATGGACTTTAATGTAACTGTGCAAATACATACATGACTATAAAGTAGAATGAGTTATTTAAAATGTAAGATACATAGGGGCTCGGGATTTAGCTCAGCGGAATAAGCACCTGCCTTGCAAGTAGGCAGTTGTGAGTTTGATCCCTGGTACTGATAAAAACGAAAAAGACAAAAAAAAAAAAGTAAGATACATTTTTTCCCCTAAAGATACAAGAATATAGTTTGTTTCTATGCTAGGTAAATTGGTTTGTTCTTTACTCCTTTATTCACTTCTCTCATCATAAAATCATTACATATATACGAACAGACATATATATACATTTTTTTCCACTATTCACCAAAAATAATGCCTTAAAAGCTGACAGCATATTTTATGAAGACAGAATATAACTCACTGTTGGGTACATGTCTCTTACAAAAGCAGTTTATCTGTCTGGTGTTCTGATGTGTCTTTTAAATAACTTCATTATTCAGTGAGAAATATTTTAATCATTTAAGTAATATAAAAGATGAAATTGTAGTATTTACATTTTGGTAGTGTTTACTGATTCAAAGTCTTTTTGCCTATTTATGTTGGGTACTTACCAAATTCCATCTGCCAGGGAATTAATTTCTACATTGAGAAAAATAAAACATTAAGTTCTTTTTTTTCAAGGTCTTGGGATATATTTAAATTCCTTTTTAGAAACTTTTTTCTCTTTCTTTTTTTAATGATAGAAGTTATTAATTTACTTTCACATCCAAAGGTTTATCTACTTAACAAAAAAAGCGATTATTATCACGTACTGAGAGAATCTGGTTAGGAAGTCTAAAGCCATGCATGATGGCACACACCTAAACTCTTACCATATAGGAGGATGAGGCAGGAGGATCTCCAAGAACCTCCAGACTACCCTGGGCTATATAGTAAGTACATCACTAGCCTGAACTACATAGCAATACACTGACTCCAAACTCTTTTAAAAGCTGTTGAGCCCAAGCATGGTAGTGCATGCCTATAATCTCAGCATTCAGGAAGGTAAAACAGGAGGATCACTGTGAGTTCGAGGCCAGCTTGGGCTACAAAGTGAGTTCAGGGCCAGCCTGAACTGCATAGTGAAACCCTGTCTCAATAACACCAAAAGAAAGAAAGAAAGTAAACAAGCAAGCAAGCTGTCAAATACTATGAACATCAAAAAAAATGCAGAAAAATCACAATGGTTTCATTAACGGTAACTTCTCTTGAAAACTTTTTTCCTCTATTATCTATTATTTTGATTTTGATTTACATTTGAGTTTCTCATTTACAACAGTGTATCTCCAAAGTCTACACTCTGAACCATTATATTATCCTGCCGCCCTGATGAATTCATCATATAAGAGAAACCATCCAATATTTAAGCTTGTGTGTCTGGTTCATTTCACTCAACGTTATAGTCTCAAATGCGTAATTTTCCTACAAATGACTCAAGTTTATCCTTTATGGCTGCATAATACTTCACCATGTATAAATGCCACATTTTCTTTATCCATCTGTTGTTGATGGGCACACAAGGTGCTTCAAAGATTTAGTTACAGTGAACTGTGCTGCTATCAAAATGGGTATATACAAGTATCTCTGAAATATGTTGTCTTTAACACTTTTGGTTAGGAAGATACCTAGAAGGAAACTAGCTGGGTTAATGGAATTTCTAGTTTTAGTTTTCTGAAGAATCTCTGTACTGATTTCCATACTGGTTATACTAGTTTACATTCCTATTATCAGTGTAAGGGTTATTTTTTCCCCCACAGCCTTACCAGCATTTGTTATCACAGTAAGTCCCGGACTTACATTTCAATTGTAAACTTTCACAGATACAGATGGACCTTGTATTATGAACATTTGTAGACACAAACAAATTGTGGAAATAACTGATGATCCATAAGCTCCAACATCAGGTATGGGCCAAAGTCTGTCTTACCCTCCATCTCCTATTGCCGATGAACCCTCATCTCCTACCTGCTCCTCCTTCCTGTTAGTAACTATCTTATTGTTAGTTCCCTCCATGCAATCCTCTATATGCCAGTTGTTGCACTGTATTATACCAATTTAAGCTAACTGTAAAGTAAAAAGTTTACAGTATTTTTGTATGTGTTTTCATGCCTTTTTTTTTGTCTTTTTCCTTTGTATCGGTACCGGGGATCGAACTCGCGACTACCTGCTTGCAAGGCAGGTGCTTATGCGGCTGAGCTAAATCTCCAGCCCCTGTGTTTTCATGCTTTACATTGTGTATTTATGTCAAAGATGTGTGAATATGACTCATTTTGTTGGACTTGTAAACAAAGCTGACTTAAGAATATTCTCCCAAAATAGAACTTGTTTGTAAGTCAGGGGCTTGTAATCTTATTTCTTGATAGCAGCCATTCTTTCTTGAATAAGGTGGAATCTCAATGTTATTTTAATTCATCTTTCTCTAATGGGCATCAGTGTTGAGTATTTTTTCATGTATTTATTGGCGACTTGTTATTTATTCTTCTGAAAAGAACTATAGCTACCCATTTTTTTAATGGATTTTTTTTTTTTTTTAGTTCTTTATGATGTCTAGATAATAGTCTCTGTCCAATGAATCCCTGGCCAAAAAAAAAAAACCCTTTACATTGTGTAGTCGTCTTTTTTCTGTTGTTTCCTTTGCTGTGCGTGAAACTTTTAATTTATCTGAACCCATTTGTTAATTCTTGATATTATTTCTTGTGCAATTCGTGGTATTATTTCTATTCAGAAAGTCCTTGCCTACACCTATATCTTCAAGAGCTTTACCTTCTAGCAAGTTAAATAGAGAACATTATAGTCTGCAAAGGAAGGTTCCACATTTTTCCAACTGGGTCTCTGTGATAACTAATCTTTAGATGTAGAGGTACTAATAAAACGTTATTTACTGAAGCTAGACTCAGAGATATGAATTACAGTTTGACTATATATAACCTCAAAATCTAAAATTTAAAAAGGAGGCAAATCAATAGCTCTTTCCTTGGTGTCTACTTTCACCAAATCTTAGCAGTTCACACATAACAATCTATACTGGCTTCATTCTGAATGCCCTCTAATACTTTCATTCTCTTTAATGGTTTTAAACTATTTTGTTATGTTTGATTCTATTATGTATGAAGGTATGCTCAACTATTTCAAGGAAAGAGACATTATGGTAGCTACTGTTATATCGGGTTGTCTTGTGGTGAAATACTGTGTTGCTTAAATTGTTCTGTTCTGATCTGCTTTGTAATGTCCTCTTTTATCTTAATCTCTTTAAGATAAAAAAAATAGGGGCTGGGGATTTAGCTTAGCGGCATAAGCCCCTGCCTTGCAAGCAGGCAGTCGCGAGTTCGATCCCCGGTACCGATAAAAAGGAAAAAGACAAAAAAAATAAAAAAATAAAATAAAATAGAACAAATTTATACTGGCTTCAGACAATGCATCTCTAAAGCCCTTTTTTGTACTGTATGGACATTAAGAAATGGTGATTTAAAATGCTTATTTTATCACTATTAATTCTAGATCATTAACAATATCTGCTACAAATATATCTGGAACACAATCAATTAGCATAAGATTTTTTTTATTAGTCAGAAATATACTATGTAAGTTGCTTAGGAGTATAAAATTTTTTGAAACAAATTGCTTACGAAGAAATTGATTAGTGAAACTCTTCTCCTTCCATTAATATATTAAAAATGTATTTCTCAAGTTTTATAATGTAATAATAAGCCTATTATAAAGAAATATCTAAGCAGTGCTAAACATCAAAATAAACAGCTAATAACCAAAGACAAATTGCTGATCTTGACTAGATATTGATTTAAAATGAAAAAAAAAAAAAATTTTTTTTTTTTTTGGTACTGGGGATTGAACTCACAATTGCACAATTGCAAGGCAGACACTTATGCCGCTGAGCTCCGGCCCAAAAATGACAAAATATTAAAATAATTAAAAAATGTGATCAAACAATGCAATAAATCCATCATATCTTTACATAAGCAGCATAAAAGAGTGGCACTCCTAAATTCTTGCAAATCTTTTAAATCTGTGGCTGAACAGATTAGAAATTTCTTGTGCATTCAATCTGTTGTCACATACCATTTGTCATACAGCCCCTGGAAAACTATATATACATAAAAGAATAAGGGTTAAAAAGCCAAATAATGCTTTAAATGCTATTATGAAAGTAATTTTCACTTTGTGGATACTCTAAAAGGATCTCAGGGCCTGTCTCCTGCTCAGAATTTGTAAGGTTTTTGAAATTCCACAACTATGAACATATGATTTCATTTTTACTTATTTTTTTATTTTTATTTTTTGGTCTTTCTGAGATAGAGTCTCGCTATGCAGTTCAGGCTGGCCTTGTGCTCACTTTGTAGCCCAGGCTGGTCTTGAACTTGCAATGATCTGCCTGCCTCAGCTTCTCAAGTGTTGCCATTACAGGAGTGCACCAGCACACCTAGCTCAGAGATTTCATTTTTAAATTGAGCTAACATAGTCTTAGGTGTTTTACTTTTCTGTTTTTTTGAAACAATACATACTAAAAACAAAAATAAGGATTGGACAACACCCAAGAAAATCCATTTAATAAAGAAAAATTCTCAATAGTAAACACCATAGGGCACCACAAAACAATGGTTAGGAAATACATAAAGCCTACTGGGCATAGTGGCACACATCTGTTATCCCAGCACTGGAAAGGCTGAGGCAGGAGGATTCCCACAGCTTCAAGGGCATCCTGTGCTAGTGAGTTTAAGACTAGCCTAAACCACACAGACCCTGTCTCATACAAAAAAACAAAACAAAACAGAAAAGGAATACATGAAGCCTCCTTAGGGCACCTGCCTAATACTCTGGGCTAGTGCTGAGACTGAGGGTTAAGGATCCAAAGTCTGAGGGCAGCCTTGGGTGGTTGCTTTAGTGAGATCGTCTCTCAAAATATTAAAGATATAATATATAGGTCAGAGGTGAAATGCTTACCTGCAGTAGCAGAAACCAGGTTCTGGGTTCAATTCCCAATACCACAAGAAAAAACAAAACCATAAAACCCAACTGTGTGCTTTTAGTTTTCCCATCTGTAAAACAGTTCATTATGTCCACCTCACAAATTTTTAGATTTTAAGATTTAGGAAAAAAAAACAAAAAATTGAAGCCCTTAAAACTATATCTGGATGTAAAAGCTTGGTCAGTGTTACCTTTAGCTGTAATTGTCAACTTTACCAAAAGTTATTAAACTCGCGCCTTTTGTTCAAGTGTCTGCCCAAACTGACCAGTTATCTCAAGATTAAATTAACACAAATGCTGGGTGTGATGGTGCACACACGCCTGTCATCTCAGCACTTGGGAGGCTGAGGTAGGAAGACCTCCAGGATTAAGAGGCTAGGCTGGGTTACATAGCGCGAATTCAAGGCTGTACCAGACAGTAATACGTAAGATCCTGTCTCAAAAACTCAAAATAAACAAAATAATTAATAGAGCATACGTTAGGGGAAAGCATGTGAGAATACAGATCTAGATTTTTATTTTATCTTTTTCACACACAGCGTTTCGATATACAGCTCAGGCCGACCTTGAGCGCACTTTGTAGCCCAGGCTGGTCTCAAATTTGCAATAATTTTTCTGCCTCAGCCTCCAAGCGCTGGGATTATAAGTGTGCCCCACCACACCCGGCCCAGACTATTTTTTTTTTTTTAAAGTACAAAAAGATCTTGCCAATAGATTTTGGGTCAACGTTCATAAGCTGACAGCACTGTGGTCTCACTTCTTTATTCACAGATGAAGTCACCAAAACCGATGACTTAATTTCTCCATGGCCACACAGAATGGCAAAAACCTTTCCTAATAAAATGTGGTTTGATGTGAGACTGTAAAGATATACAATACACTAATTTTGCAGGGCATCACCATGAGGTTACAGGGCACATGCCTGTAACCTCAACACTGGGGAGGCTGAGGCAGGAGGATGGCCGTGAGTACGTAAGTGAATACTAGGCCAGCCTGAACTACACGGCGAGACTCTGCCTCAACAAAAAAATTGTGATGTTCATTATATTTAACTCTCGTCTAAAAAACGAGGTTTAAGAGAACTGTCACACTGCGACACCTTATCACCTTGACCGCTAACCGCTTAACCTCATACATACTTCAAAGAGACAGAATTTAAGAACTACGGGCCAGTGGATCGAGAGAATCTCAAACTCACTCGCCAAAACCTGAGCAGAACATACAGGAAACAGCAGCTCAGGTGCGGGGAGCTCCGAACCGCCGAGACCCCGCAGTGAGCGCAGGCGACTCAGACACGCAGCCGCCGCCGCCTCCCAACGCGGGACAGCGCCGCCGCCGGGCGCCCGGGGACAGGCAGGAGGCGGAGGCGGAGGCGGCCCCGCCCCGGCCCGGGAAGCCCCCAGGCCCCACCCCGGCGAGGGCCCGCCCCCAGCCCGCGGCTCCTTCCTGCGGGAAGTGCGGCTCCTTTCGCGTCCCCCGCCCGCGGCTCCCTGGCAGCGGCTCGGACTTGCCCCCGCCCGCAGGCGCCGCAGAAGCCCGCAGGCGCCGCGCCGCGCCGCGCTCACCTCTCCACCAGTACGTCTTGGAAAGGTCGTGCCAGGTCTGGTGCCGCGTGTGGTGGGTGCCGCCGGGGCCCAAGTGCGCCGCCTCGATCAGGCCCCGGCGCCGCTCCGGCTGCAGCACCACCTCCAGCTCCGCAAAGGTCTTGCGGTGCCGCTGCCGCCGTTGGTAGTACAGAGTCCCGCCGCGCACCACGTAGCAGGCGGCGGCCTTGCGGATTTTTCGCTTGACATTGCCTTCGGTGCCGGGCGCGTACGGCTCGCGCTCGTTCGTCAGGTAACGCAGAATGGCCCGGTAGCTCTCCTCACTTGACATCGCGGACAGCGGCTCCCCGAGGGCGCCTGTCAGAGGTGGAGGAGGAAGACAGCGCTGTAGCTCCTGGCAGATGTAAGGCTAGCGGAGGCACTGTGAGGCGGTACTGCTTCCCCTCTGGAGAGAGCTCTTCAAGGGTCCCCCGCGCCGCGGAGGGAGAACGGACAGATTGGTAACCAGGGGGAACTGCACTTCTCCAGCGCGCGGGATCCGCTGGCGACTGACAAAATGGCTGCTGCACCACCGGAAGTGACGCAAGCCAAGGGTGGAGGCTGAGCCTTGATTGGAGCGCTCTCGCTTTCGGCCTGCAGTGAGCCCATAGAGTGACGTCAGTACTGCGGACGGACATTTTGGAAACGGGTAGTCCTGTCCCTGGAGATGGAAGGGTCGTTGAGTAGACATCTTAAGTCCTGGCAGTTTCCTTTTTATTTTTCCCTTTTCCCACGCTCTCTAGAGAGCCACGTGTGAGAGGTGGTGGGCAGTTGTTAGCCCATCCGAGACACCTCGAGAGGAAATAAATTCGTAAGCGTCAGATTTTCAGGCATTAGCGAATTGGACCCTGAACCAAAGCCCCATTTGCAGAGCAGAGATAGATGATTCAGTTAACAAACGTTATAAAATTTCACCCCTCAAAAAAAAAAAAAAAACTTAAACCCCTCAATGTTGGTTATTTCTGAATATAAACCAATTGCTCCAAATTACCCAAGGAATAATCAGGTAGTTCCCGTAATGATCGGCATAGATTATCTTCTACAAAAAAGGCAATCGCGTTGGAAAGGTTGGAAGCAGTACCTAGCTCTCTTTGGCTTCGTTTATTTTTATGTGCTCAACGTAAGCTTGCGTATCTTTTACATAAATTTAGAAAAAAACATCTCCACTTTACACTCAATATATTTAGGAGCACCAGAGACCGACCCGACTTGAACTTGCATTTTTTGAATGCGCACTGAGGGTCCTAACCGATTTTTAGGGGGCGGGAGCGGCGGCCCTCCCCGCGCTTTGCATTGGCTGTGATCATGGCGAGGGGGAGGGGGCTTTGCTCCTGGCGCTTCCGACAGTGGCGTTGCTTGGTTGAAGCTGGAAAATTCTGGGCTTCCTCGTCCAAGGGCTGCCTACCTTCACTTTAGACACCCTAGTTTACATTGTTCATGAGGCCCTTTGACCCTTGTAATCAAGGGTGAGGATAGCAGGTGTACGAGAGGCTGAAAAAACCACCTGGCTTGGGCTGTGTTGGGGATTGTTCAGGCAGACTTCTAAAGAAGAAATTAGAAGATGGAGCTGCACCTCTCCCCCCCCCCCCAAAGGAACAGGCAGTGAGTAGATAACACGCAAACCTCCCAGAAGCTGGTGGGTCAGTGACGGTGAACTTGTCAAAGGCCCTAAAAGGTTTGACATCGCTGATGTAAGTGGCAAGCCAGCCTTATCAACGGTTGAGATTAAAACCGTACAGGTACGATTTTATGGCAAGTAACTACTAAAGAAAACCTTAGTCGTGGAAATACCTCTCCACTCAAGTTTGTACAACACACTGAAGTGTGAAAGCTTCAGAAAACAGTAGAGTACTTTGAATTGTTTTGCTCTCTTGGTGGGCACTGTTGTCTTCCTGGCCAAAGCTAAATTTTTTACCAGGAAACTTATTTTTTTTAAAACTAGGAGAGACATTGTTTTTTTCTTTCTGGGCCAAGGACTTCTGGGTAGCCAGAACTCAAAAGTTCCAATTTAGACCAGAAAACAAATACTTTTAAAGGGACACTTTAAAGATAGGAATTATAAAACGGGTAACTTTGGCAAAAGGGCAACCAAAAGGTCAAGGGCAGTGAGATAATCTGGATGTGTTATGGCCGCATACTAACTTCCCACCATGAATGTAACCATTATTTACTGCAAACGTGTACTACTAAGTGGAAAAACAGTAAAGGGACACTTTTTTCCCAAGCAGGGGGAAAAAAAGGCTTTTTCCAATAGGATTTTTCTTTTTCAAGCCTAGTATTTTCAGTTTTGCCTTTATCATCAAAGGCCTATTAGCATCTTGCACTTCATTGTTGGTTGAAATGAGTTCTCCCAAAATTGCAGAATAGCCTAAAAAGTCCTCCAGGGTCAGCCTCCTATAGCAAAGATTATTGGTAACACCTTGCCTGACCTGTATTACATACTTCTTACTGATTTTACATTGTTTCATCAGACTTGAAGCTCCCCCAAAACCATTTTATTTCAACATTTAGATCAATGCCTGAATTTAACATGTACCAGAAAGTAAAAATTAGTTCCTAGATAGGTACAATGTGAATGAGGGAAAAATACAAACTTTACCTAGTATTCCTTTCCACATGGTAAAACTGTTTCTCAAGGGGCTCAGGCTTGCTACATTGTTGTATCTTTGTGACTTTGTAGATTGACAGGTTACCAAAAAAAAGCTACTTTGTTTATAAAAGTGTTAGTATGTTGTTTTCTTTAGATCATTTACACTATTCCTTATCAAATACACACCTCTCTTGAATTATCAGCATGCTGTTTAAATCTGGCATACTTAGCTCAACAAACTACTCTGGGAATAAGTACAATATACTCAAGAAACGAGGTGACTGAGACAGTTCATAGTACTTTCAATTTAGTTAACAGTTAAAAAAGATTGGTGACAATCCAATACAAGGCAAACCCAATATAAACAAGTCTATCATAGACAGAAATGACAGAACATACTTTAATAATCAACTTAAACTAAATCTGTTTAACATATTCTACAGCCATGTAACCAGGTCAGGAGTACACTGTACACTTCAGCAGTAAAACCACTAGGTCTGTTACATCATTTAACATCTTGCCAACCAAAAGATGTTTCATCTTAGGACACATTAAGCCTAAGAATGGAATTTTTATTTCTGGCCCTGAGGATAGCACCCAGGGCCTCATGCATACTAAGCATGCACTCTAATGAGCCACACCACCATTCCTAGAAAATCAAGTTGTCTGTCTTAAATGCTCAACTTTGTATTTATTTCACCTATTATTACCACATAGACCCAACATTTCCATTGTAAAAACTGACCACAAATTAGAGTTACAGATCTTTTATTTAAAAATCTGATCTGCCAACTTAGCGTTTCCCACCAACTCGAGGAGCAGAAACTTTCACAGGCTTCACAATCTTCTGCTTAGGTGCTGCCTTTGTGGGAGCCTGTAAAAAGTAACAGAATATTATACTGTAGTACTCCATGAAACTTTTTAACACTCATTTTATGTCCTGATTCTGTTTATATCCTACATTGCCTCAACTGCATTCCTAGTATCAATCCTTTTGTGAATGTGTTAAGGGCAAATTATACCCTAACAAGAAAAAAATAGCTATTTTTTTTTTCATGGGATGAAGGCTGGAAGCTTCAAATTTTTTACTATGTTAACACTGAGAAAGCCAAGGGCGCTGATACTTATAGGTCATTTTAATACTTCAGAAGGCTGAGGTGGAAAGACTACAAGTTTGAGGCCAGCCTGGGCTGTACAGTGAGTTCAAGGATGCCTGAAATACATAGTGAGACACTGTTTCAAAGCACAAACTGAGAAAAGGTGGGCCAACAGAACTAGTCTGCCACCAAAACTTTTCTGATTCCAAATTAATTTCTAAAGCTAAGTGTGATGGCACACGCCTGTGATCCCAGCATATGGGAGGCTGAGGCAGGAGGAATGGGAGTTCAAAGCAAGCCTGGATTGATTACATAGGCTTTAATTGTATTAAGAAATCAAACCAAAAAATCTCCAATTACCTTAGCAGCAGCCATTGCAGTCTTTTTAGATGCTTGCTTAGCCTTTTTTGCTTCCTTGGCAGCCCTGGAATTAAAAATAACTTTAGGGAGAGCTTTTTTACTCCTTATAGGTACAATTTATTAACAAGGAGACAGTTCTAGACAAACACAACCATCACATTTCTTTTTCATCTGTGTTATTTGCACAGTAAATCCAAAATCCAAAGGATTTGTTAATTTCATCATTCAGGTTGGCTTAACATGTTATACAGTAATTTTAACTGCATACAGAATTTTAACAATATAATTTGTGAACTTCTGTATTACAAAACCTGATGACCGAATACTCCATAACATCAGATTATATTCCTGTACCTATAAAGCTAAACAACCTAAAAATAAAATTCACCCCAGTAGCTGAAATGTTTACATGGTGAAGCATTCTTTACCTGATAGCTTGCTCTCTTTGGGCCTTTCTAACTTCTGGTTTCTGATTTCTCTTAGCCATTATATCAGCAAGAGATGCACCAGTGATGGCCCTCTGGAATTTGACTGCTCGTCTTGTTCTTTTCTTTTGAATTTCTTCCTAAAGAAAAAATATGGGAAACACTTATTACCCTTGTTTCTTGAATTGGGAAGAAAGTTTTCATGGTTCACTCAACAAACCACAATCCATAGCAATTATTTGAAATAAAACACGTTAAAGTTTTCCACTTTATAAACCACCTGTTAACCCTGACCTTCCCACTACTTATAAGGACTAAAAATTAATCTGTGAGAAACAATGCTTTATTTCATAAAAATAGCTGTTGTAATCCTAGCACTCTAGGCAAATCCTAGGCAGAGGGATCCCAATTTTGAACGCATCCAAGGCACCTTCACAAAACCCTGTCTCCAAGAGTGGATGGGAACATAGCTCAATGTGATGGTCTTAGGGTCAATCTCCAGTACAACAACCAAAAGAAGTAGCTTTAGGGCAAGGGATGTATGTGCCTCAGTAGTACAGAGCTTGCCTAGCAAGCACAGGGCCCTAGATTCAATCACTAGCATCACACAAGAAAGTGATTTTAGTAACTACGTATTTAAGAATCTTATCAACTTACCTAATTTAACTCGAGTCTAACACAGAAGAAAATCATTGAAGACACTACTCAGTTCCCATTAAATAGGAACTCTCCATTTTTCCTTTCCTCTTTTCAGTCTTCATTAACACGAAAATTTTAGTACCTAATAAAATGGGATCATCATGCTTTTACCTGGTTTATTTCCATTTATCTTCAAGCTTCTGGCTGCATGCCAACTTTTAATGGATACTGAATTATGAATCCATCTATGTATACACAAAGACGGAATACCCTAGAGTTCCAAGAAGCTCAAATTCCAGAACTATTCTGCAACTGATGGGAAACTCCACACCACATTTCCCGTTAAGAGCTGCTGTCAAAATACAGGCATTTTATGCAAACTATTACATAAAACTACCTTCAGAGGCTAGTCCGATGGCAGTGGATTATCTGCCATCAGTGAACTTATTAACATTAGTGTCACTAAAGTTGGTATACCACCCCCCCCACTGCTAAATTTGACTGGCTTAAAAAAAAAAAAACCTACCTTCAGAGTATGTGCATAGTACACTGCATTTGTACCCTCACTAAAACCTCATGTATACATAACTGTTCAAAACGAAAACAAACTCCAAAACCAATCTCTGCGTCCAAGCATTTGAGACACATTCATCCTACACATTTTGTCCATTCATTAACTCACAGACATTTAAGTTTTCTCCTTTTGGCTGTGAACAATTTATCAGTATTTTGCGTTAAATCATTTTATTTTCCATGACAGCTGCACCACTTTGCATCCAGCCATGTACAGGGGTTTCCATTTCTCCATCAAAAGCTGTAATATCCTACTTTTCTTCAACAAAAGGCACCCAAAAGAGCCTCTTTCACTGACATTCAAGTCAAAGTAGGGATATTTACTAAACAAGTGAAAATATCCATGTCTCCTGAATACTGGTTCTAGTCTTACTACCACACTCTAATACATTTCCTCACAATCTTCAGGCAGCCAAAAAAAGGAAAAAGGTACCACTGAGAATGAACTAGTGCAGGTCGGAGTCAGAAGACTCCAGTGATGTCTGTTTGGGCTAATCCTATTAAGGACTATAATGAAAACCAAATGGCCACAATAAAGATTCGATTTCCACTCACCAGAACGCTAAACTCCCCAACAGTGTTAATACAAATTAGCTTAATATGATCCATGTGACTTCCAAAAAACGCTACTTTCAAATTTCAACTATTACTTCGAGCCCAAGGTGTTCAGCAAAACCTATTTTCACTTCATTGTTTTATTTTACAGTTTTTAGGAGAACAATTCACAAACCGTCTCAATTACAATTCTACCTAACAGAAACCAGTGCTCGAAAAGCTTACAATTTCTTGACCCTGGCTCACAACACCAAAGAGCACCACACTTACCGACTGTCCCTTTTTATGCTTTCTTCTGTAGAGGACAGTCCAATTTATCTGCCGAGGATTTCGTTTGGACAGGAACGCAGATTCGCATTTTGCATTAAGAAACTGGAAAACCTGAAGTGAAAAATTCAAAGACTTATAAAAGTAGCTGACTTTAAAATCGTTACAAAAATCACCATTTTAGTTACATCAGCTTCTTTTAAGAAATCACAGCCGAGACCAAAGCTTGTGTTATAGAAACAGGAAGTAAACGAATGGCAGGATGGTGTCAAATTCTGGGAGGAACACTGCTCTTAAGGCTTCCGAAATCGAAAAGAACCGAGTCCCCATAAAGAACTAGACACCTCGGCCTCCAGTTACTCCTCCTCCATCAGGATACTAAACTACATACATCACTCCCTGGCCGAGTACTAGATCAGCGCCCAACACCCGTTCCTGTAAAGGTTTCTGTCCGACAGTAATCACAATTCCTGACTCGCCGACACCGAGTTAGATCGGCCTTTCCTTTTCAAAGCCCACGAAGCTAAGCTGTACCAGAAGCGGCCCTTTACCTTCCCGTCAGTCCGGGCGTAGCGCCTCCCGTGTCCTGGGTAGATCTTGTACCCACTAAAGCTGCACAGCTCGACCCTATAATGAGAAGTAAAAACCCATAAGGCAAGCAAACAGAAAACATGTCCAGGACACCGTAGAGGCGCTGTGCGCAAGGATGGAAACAGATTGAGATTCAAAGGGCCCTTACTTCATGGTGACAGCCGGCAGTCCAGAGGGAAGATGGCGAAGAGAAGGAGAGGATCATGGGAATAGACTATAAGGTCTTGGGAGAAACTCCGCCCCAAATTCCCTTTGACCCCGGCGATCGGTGATGATGTCACCCAAACAGCGGCGGATGCGTGTTTCGCAGGCAACTTCAAGCTTCCGAGAAATTTGGCCAGAAGATACCTGAAGTTCTAGGGGCAGAAAGGAACTGACCTCTCGGCAAGTGGATCTGGCGTTTCTCGGCTCTGGGTCGTTTAGGTTCCGGTAGTCTTGTGTTTCGGAGTCAACATCTTGACGCAGGCAACGTGAATTAAAGAGAAAGGTGTCCTTTGTTATCGCTTTTGTTCTTCCCAGTTTCACCTCATACCCCGCAGGTGAAACATAAGGAAGTCAGGTATTATCTCCACATTTCCCCATTTTTTAAACAACAAAATTAAATTTAAATTAATTAAATTTTGGAATCCAGCGTTATAACTCAGTGGTAGAATGCATGCTGCGTTTGGCCCTGAGTTAAATCCTCAGCATCAGAAGAAAAAAAATGTTTAACAATTTGTTTTTAAAAGATCTGAAATTCATGCTGGCCCTTTGAATTAATTAAAACGAACATGCATCGAGCACTTCCTTAGTGATAGGAATTATAGTAACCGGTTTTGCATACATTAGCTCATCTGTTTACAAAATTCTTACCGAGTGCCTGTGGAAGACCCGTAAATTACAATCGTGAGTCGGAGAGGAGCTCATTTTTCGGGTAGACTTAATGCCGAGTGACGTCAAGGGATAAATAGAGACTTTTTAAAAAATTTTACAATTTTTTGAATGTAAGGCTATTTATTAAAATACACAAGCTACAAGATGAAAATGAAGGCAACAGAAAAATTCAGGTT